ATGTCGTGACCAGAACCTGTGTACATACTGCTAGTTCCAATCCTCTTTGGTTTTCGGCTTTCTGGATCCGAACTGGTCATGATAACCACTTTTGTGAGAACCGCTTTATGAAAACGAACACTAAGCTTTCACTAACGACTAGGAAATCAAATGCGTGTATGATCAGTTATGATTCGTCTCGAGCCTCGGAGGCCTGCTACCGCTCATAAAAGAACTTTGGAGATAAACATAAGCGATCTAAACTGTCCAACACAGAGACGGATATGTATAGATAGATAGATAAAGAGAGATATATATCAAGAGAGAATGGAAGCGTACACTGAGTTGTAAAATATTTATTGTAACGTTTCGATCCAAACTAGGACTCGTTGTCAAACGTGAATGAAATGAATGAGATAATGGGATTACCGTCTTTCCATGCTTCTTTGTGCTGTTTGTACGTCTATCAGTCCTCCAATCGTCACGGGTATTGTGCGTGTGACGTAATGTTTGTCTATCTCGATGTGTCGGTTGAAAGAATTGACCGAGTGCAGAGCTTCGAGGATTATTCTTTACCCCTTCTTCTTAGCTAGCGCTACATCCTTTGCGTTGTCGACTGTGATCTCGTGACCTGTCAATGAGCAGTGGTTCCAGATTTGTGAAATCGAGTCGGCGAGTGAAAGAGCCTGCTTGTGTTCGTGTAGGCGAGTGTGTAGTGTTTTGCATGTATCACCTATGTAGTGTTGGTTACAGTCCAGACACACGATTGCGTAGATTACTCCTGATCGTTCGTGCTGTTCGACTCGATCCTTGCGGTTGAAAAGAGACGATCGCACGGTTGCTGCCGGTTTATGGGTAATCTTGATTCCCAACGGTCGGAGTATTTGTTCCGTGGCTTCTGACGTGCCGCGTATGTAGGGCAGCGTTATTCAAGTTCCTTCTTTTGTATGTGTTGTTTGTTTCTTACCTCCGAGGCAAGCTTTGATAAAACTCCTAGGATATGCGTTTGATAGGAACAGTTGAAAGAGCAGACTTCTTTCTCTTGTCCTTAACTCCGGTGTGCTACAGTGTGTGTTTGCTATACGGAATAGAGTTGGCACACAACTTTTTAGGTGGCACAAAGGGCGATTGCCGTTGTAGTTGAGGATGCGGTCCGATAGGGTCGGTTTCCGGTAGACCGTGGTTTGTATTCTTCCGTCGAGGTGCCTTATGAGAAGGATGTCGACGAAGGAAGTTGAAGTTGATACCGGGCATCTGTTCGCTGATCATTTAGTGGAACTGATCTACCGTGGAGGCTCTGAGTGTGACGAATGTATCGTCCACATAACGTATCCACAGACGAGGTTGTAGGATTTCAAAGGCTTTGGCTTCGAAGTGTTTCATAATCGCATCCGAAAGCAGCCCTGAGAGTGGCGAGCCCATTGGAGTTCCTCGTATCTATTGGTGTATCTTCCCGTCGAATTAGAAGTAGGTTTCCATACAGAGTTCTACGAGTTTCATCATTTCGTCCGCGGAAAGTTTCGTTCTTAATTGCAAATTTTGGTCGTTTTGCAACAAGTGTCGAATAATTTCGATGGTCATTTGTTTCGGTATGTTGGTAAACAGTGAGGTCACGTCAAAAGAGACCATCACTTTATCTGGTTCGACCGTTAGTCCCTTTATGCGTTCCAGGAATTCCGCGGGACTTTTCGCATGATTTTGGTTCACAGGTAGGGATGGGCGTAGTACCTGGAAGAGGTACCTTGCGAGGTTGTAGTTGTGTGCTGTTGGGACATTGGGTCGTAGTGCTACATGGGATTTGTGCACTTTCGGTAGTCCATAAAACCGTGCTGTCGGAAATTCTGTGAGTTTGACTCGTCTATATTCCTCATCTTTGAGTTTCTCTTTTTACTTCTGAGTGGAATAGGATTTATTTAGTTGATTCCTCAGCTGCTTTAAGGGATTCCCGTTGACCGGTTGGTAAGTGTCTTTGTCCTCGATGAGTTGTTTTTATCTTCTTTGGATTCTGTTTTGTCCAACAGTGCGATTGCATTGCCTTTATCTGCCGGAAGAATAATAATGTTGGATTCGTTTTTCAGCTATTTCAATGCTTTTAGTTCGGCATCAGTGACCAACTGTGACTGTTTCTGTTGGATAAGCTATTGGCATATTTTAATCTTAATTTCTTCTCTTTTGTCTTCGGGTATCAAGCAATTTATCAGTCCGTTCTCCACAGAGGCGATGAAGTCGGTCGGTTTGACATTGGAATTGTTGAATTTCAGGCCTTTCACGAGAATAGCCCATTCTGCGGTTGTGAGTTTGTGTTTGAAGAAATTGTGAATCGGCTCGGAACATCCTGAATGTGTTGCGTTGAAGTTGTCAAGCTTTCTGTTTAGCCTCACTCGGGTTTTCAAACGATTTGCGGTTGACGTCTCTTCGGTAACGTTCTTTATTCGTTCGATCCAATTTGTGTCCAGTAATTAGCGACGATTCTGATATATATATATATATACTCTTTCTCTGAAAATTCTCACAGTTTCCATTTTCCATGGACTGGGATCAGCTGCCACCGCGAGAACGTATCGGCCTTTTTCCCAATGATACCGCATGCATAGTCGTCAAAGTAGCGGACAGAGTACGGTGACCTGATTTGTAGCATTCCCTCCATCGCCGCCCACGTAATCTCCGTTTCGGACAAGTGTATAGACGATGATCAACGGCCTAAATACATCACGTTTCTTCTGTACGAAGTCCACGTTTGGCTGGCATTGCCAACAAGGACGCGCAGTCATCAACTGTCTTTTAGCTGAGATCGTTAGAATACGCATCGTGAGACTAGGTTCGGTGATAGTTTTGGCGAAACACAACACCTACATAACTTGTCTATAGAATAAATGCAAATTGAAAAAGTAATAAATTCATCCAAAGTGCTAAATAACATCATGGTTTGGGGCAATGGAAAGAAAACAAAGGAACTCAAAGTAAATAAAAAACGTGTAAGATTTTAAGTTCTAATAGTACCGAGAAAATTATTAATCATTTTCTAGATGTCTTTGATTCGAGCTGCCAAGTGATAATTATGTAAACAGGCAGTGAATAAATTCTGTCTTGGACATTGCAATCCGTCAGAAACTATACAGATTTTCAGTATTTACTGTTCCGTCAATGCGGAACGATCAAGTTGGAATGAATGTTCAGAAGTGGATTAAAAGTTTGATTCATTCAGCTTGTCCTAGCAGATGTGGGCTGTGATTTTGTATAGACACTGATACCTGTTGAATAGTGAGGAAGTTATACATAAACTGTGTCTATTACTTTGGTTATAAGCACCAGCTGTTGAATGTTTCTTACAGGTTTACGTCTTACGAAGATGAAATTCATTTTACTATCTACGGTTGGTTGTGGATGATCGGCAGCCTATGAATGAAGTCTCTCATTTGAATACACCTGGCCACAAAAGTATCGCATCCATTAGATTTTTGGATTATTTCCGCTTCCGATGTATGATAGTAACCATTTTTGGAGAATCTATGCAATAACTGAATGAAAAGACAAGATGTGAAACCTTATTGATTTATCTTTTACCTTAACGAACATTTGTCAGAAATAAACGAATTTTCACCGCNCCCCCCCCCCCCCATGAACTTCATACACCCAACTCGGTTTTGAAACAAAGGTAATAGACATCCCGAGTCTGTACTTAGACACGGAAACTGGCAACCGTGGTGAGTCATTGGTTGACAGAGTGCTATAAGCTACAGCCCTGTTCACGTTACTCACATATCTTGACACGGCGTGGTGTTTCACGGTAGAATGATTTGAGAAGGTTTACGGAGTTCCTAATAACACCGCTTCCTAGTCCAGAAAGTAGCTTAGTCCACTGAATTCACTGCAGTATTTTAGTGTGAAAATGACAGACAGCAAGGATTGATCTACCGAACGTTTGGTTTTGCTCGAGGATCTGGAGTAGAGTGAACGGGTGGTCAACGCAGCCCCGTCCGGAGAGGAATCCAGCCTGTTCTTCACTGATATGGCGCTCCCTTTTCCCGATGAGTCTGCGAAGGATCAACGATGTAAGCAACATAAATGCGACGGAAATGATTCTTAAGAGGTTTACCGGTGGCATCACTGGCACACATGGTATTGCATGCAGAAGTCAGAATAGACAATTTTGCCACAACTGACCTGGTCGTGTAATAGAGTGAATAGATATTTTTCATCAAACGCAGTCATAGTTATACTAACGGTTAAATGAGCTCTTCGATCAGGTATTCGATTCGGATTTGTTGACTGGTCTCTGTTGTTGCGTGTATTTCGTTAAATCTTATTCTGTTCACGCATTTCATCAATACGAGTATCAGTCACATTGCGTGCGTTTCGTTCAAGAGAAGCCACAATGTACTTTGCCGACCAAACACTTACGACGAATCCGTCCCAGATTTGCGAAACGATTATATTTTGAAGTCACAACGAATGCTTTTGTTGAATGGACTTCATCCTACATACGGAACAATGTTGCGGAGAGAGTGTCTATGGTATTGTATTGAGGAGGTGAAAGATAGAGGAAGAGAAATTTGTACCTGTTAAATCTATTCTCAACAATTTCAATCTCCCGTCCAAATCCCCTAGAACTGACACGTTTCACAATGACCTACATCGTTCGGTTGTTTACGGAACAGCATACCACACTCATACGTAGACATCATTATGTGAATAAAGACACACACTAACTAGCTATAGCTAGCACAAAGCTGTCTGTTTGGAGCACGCTCTGATACATGTCTAAACATACCCTCGATGAATGCTCGCGTCACGTGTTATCTGACATTGTGTCATAGGCCAAATTTGTCGACAGCGATTGTGCTTTAATGTGTGTGCGTGTGTGTGTGTGTGTGTATGTACACGAGTCCACGCACGCATCGAACGTTCCATCGTCGCGTAATAAGGCATAGAAACTGCCTTCGAACGGGGAATCGCATCCATTAAAACAATCTATCCCAAACTGCAAACAGCATCTGTTGCATCTCCAACACCCGTCTACAATGACCCACGAAAGTGATTTCACCGATAGCGAGGTGCAAGCGGATATCCAGGTTCGTACACGTCGTGTCAGCGAAGTGACAAAACCGGGAACGAGAAAAAAGTTGAAATGGCATCAACTGCTCAGTGTGGACTATGTGCTTCAGTATGTGTGCACCCTCATATGGGTCTCCTTTTTCATGTTTATGGCCCTCAGTAGCTGGATGTTATGGTTCACTCTTGTTGCATGGCTTCTGCTTCAGTTGCCTCACATGTACACAATATACACGGCGTCCAGAAGGGAAGGTTCTGACGTATCAGAGATGGAGTTCGATCGGGTTACCTTTCGATTCATCGCTGTACTGATCTGTTTTCTAGCTTATCAGATTCATTGGATTCTGGACCGGAAGTCTGAGGAACGTGGATCACATCCGAAACCATGGGTTCGAAAGCTGGTTATATGGGGGTACTTGCGCCGATATTTCCCCATAAATATGATTCTATCAGATGAGATTCGTTTGCAACAACAACAGCCCAAACAGAACCAACAGACTGATGACACGCTACAAGAGATTACTTGCAATCCAATCCTGTTCCCGGCGGATCAAAACTATTTGGTCGGTTATCACCCACATGGGATTTTCGGTGTTGGAGCATTTGTGAATTTCGGCACCGAGGCTACCGGTTTCTCCAGAAAGTTTCCTCAGCTTACACCCTGGTTAACCACTTTGGAAATCAATTTCAAAGCACCAATTCATAGAGATCTATTACAATCTTTCAGTGAGTGAACAAATCACATATGCCTCTTGGAAGTTCATTGTTTGCAGCATAGGTGCTCCTCCAAAATCGACTGTCTTCTCAACATTATGTGCTTTAGGATTGAACAGTTTGGTCCTGTATTCATGAAATTCTGTTTACGATGCAAACCGTTGACAGCCGAAGTCAATAAACTAATTCAATAGGAATCGAGCAAAGGATAGATCTACCAGAAACTCGTAGCACATTTCGTGGTTATTTGTGGCGTTGTTGGCCTTTTTAGGGGGCAAGAAGCGTAAGGTCACCAATTTTGAGATGCAATCGTCAAATGTGCAGTTTTTCGTTGCGGATTTGGTTGAGCTATTCACATCAAGATGAGATATGGATACATCGTCTCGCTTTCGGAACACACAAAGCAAATTCCTAAACCCGTTGATGTTGAGGTTGCTAGGTGACGATTGTGTAAACTTAACCCCTTAAATTCTCCATGATCTTGTAAATTTACCAGTAAGAATATGTCAAGACAATAATTTTCGGTTGATAGCTAGCAAACCTCTTATAAAACACGAAATCCGCTATTTCACAAAGACTTTTGTAGACACTCTTGAAATGCCATTTCAATACAATTTTTACAAAATCCACACGATGTAGGGAATTTCACTTAGACTTTATCTCTAATCCCACGGACAACAAGATTTATGTTTCTAACTAATTTAATGCGCAGTATCAAGTAAGTGCAGTCATATTCGTGAGCAACTCATTAAGGTCTTAAGTTGTAAAACATGCATATGGTGCGCATCGGTATCATGTCTGTGTAACGACCAACGACGTTCATACGTAACTACAAAAGCTTCTGTTTATTGTCATACGGCAGTGTACTTTAGGACGAAATGGTTGATGCTTCCTAACCAAATATCGACATTTCTCAACTGCTAGTGAGGGAAACTCCTCATGATCACAACAAGCACCAGAATTTTCCATCGTCGTGCTTTTGAAACTTTTTGAGATGAATATTTTATCGACAACAATAATTTTGAAGAGTTCCAAGCGGACCCGTAGTTGTCTAATCAAGTCATGCCGGAGTTGTCTGTGAGCAACGTTAGTCCGGGGTAGTTTATTGCATACTTAGAATGTGAAGTGTTCATCATTCGAATAAAAAACTCAGACCATGTGACTAATATCATGCATCTGTGATACCAAGTAAAACTGTTGTCACACGATTCTGTATCCCTCCCATATTAGAGTGATTAGCCAACCTAGATAAATCAAGTCACAAACCGAACAAACCTTCCATGAAAATTCGTTGCCACCATGTATCAATTGTATATTATTGATTGATTGGAACTGATCATCCTTTAGGCTTCACCTTCTAGCACTTTCTTCAGCTCTTCCAGTCAACCGAAATGTACATTGGACTGAACTGCACTAAAGAAGTTCCTTCTTGTTAAAATTCAATCCTTGTGAGAAGTATTTCCTTATAAGTAGTGACCTTGATATTACGCTATTCTTGATAAAAGTGACTCTTAGAAGCGAGATACCCCCCCTCCCTCGCCCTCTCCTCACGCAGGTGCGTCATATGAGCCTCTAGTCAAATGTACACGTAAGTAATAAAGAAATTCAAGAAGACAAACCGATAAAAAGCGACGATCCGTCAACAGAAGTTTCTCATCTTTTTCCCCCTTTTTATCAATTTCAAGTTTATCACACGAGATCCATGGATGGAACGGATCTCACTGAAAAACCTGGGCGTCGTGCTAATGATTATTGAGGAAATTAGCTTGTCTTAGCCAC